ATTTTTCTGCCCAATGCAGCCGTTTCTGCTTGTGAGCATTGGTTAGTGGTGGCCGAATAGAAGGTTTATGCACAGCTGCAAGACTCTGGAGGACTCCAGAGGCACCAGCAGCTTCAAATATCTGTTTGCTGCTATGTAATGGGATTTTAGAAGCTGCTCTCTTGATCCGATGCATGGATCTGGCAGAAATCTTCCTAAATGTGCCTTTATCTGCACGAACCCGTCTGTGCTCTGAATCAGCCACAAATCTCTTAATAGTGCGATGATCACGCTTAAGTTTTCGTGAAATATCTAATGTTTTCATACCTCGTCCGAGGCATTGAATTATTTCACTCTTTTCGGCAGCAGAGAGATCCTTTTTCTTCCCCATATATCATGAAAATGGTGCTCTGCTTAATAATGTGGAACACCCTCCTTTAGTAGTTTTTCCTTAAATTGGGCTCACCTGGCAATCTAATTATCACAGGTGTGATAAAAGAGCCCTGAGACACAATGCCATCTATGAGGTAAACTAAAAAACAAAATATTTAATCTATGTGACACTTAAATAGAATTTGAATAATAATTTGGAACAGGATGTGTATATATATATGATCTAAGTATATATTATTGAATTAAACTGTTTTTAACTTTTATACAGGCATCAGGGGGACTACGTGTCATTCCATGCACTCCCCCTGTTGGCACTGCTATGGATGGCTATTGCGTCTATGTGATTGTGAGGTCCTCGCGATCACATGGCCCAGGAGGGCTGGATCTGCAGCAGGGAGACTCCCTGGGATGCCAGGCAAGTCCCCCCATTGCAATCGCCAGCGAGCTGGTAAGTCCCCTGGACGGCGGGGACGTGCTATGCTGCCCGCCGGCGTTTAGAGCCTGGTCCCCAAGGACGGCATAGCACGCCCGCCGTCTTTAAGAGGTTAATAAAAGGACGGGGTCTGGGTGCCTATAGTGTTCCTTTAATGGCAAAAAATATGAGAGAGAAAAAATATATATAGAGTGTGTGTAGTTCTTGTAGCCCTAGAACTGCAGTAATAATAATATTCACAATTGTATGGATTCCACCCTATTTTACTCTAGCAGTTACCTGACTGCAATACTCACTAAAGAATAATTTGAATAATAGAACATTCTTCCATATTTACCTTAATTTTATTTTCCTGATTAATCAAGATAGTGGAAATAACTAACTGACGACAATCAAGTTATACATTTAACAGGGAGATTGATAATGCAAAGAGTTCAGACATCTGCTAAAGTGTACAAAACTAAGCTGAATTTACCTAATGAGTGTATTCCCAGTCTGGTGTTAAATGTCAAACCTTCAAAGTGCAAAAAAACATCAAAAGGTGTCAGCAGTAAGACAATTGTTTAATCCATGGATGGTACAGCCACCACTGTTTCTGTGTAGACAAAGAAGTATACTATACAGCCTGCTGGTCAACAATCCAACAGTATTCAGTCAGAGACTGTCCAAAATAGCCAGTACAATAATGAGAACAGGAGATCTAGATGCCCACACCTATAAAAGGAACAATCGTTTCTAACAAGTTCCTGGAACAAGGCAATCGTCTCCAAAAAATTCAGGTGATCACTTTAGAAGGTAGAAGCAAAGTAAAATCAGCAGTATTATATTCCAGGCATAGCTGATAGATAAATAGATCATAGAAGCACCCTCCTTTCGTAACTAAAACACCTATAATATAAATGGCTATACAAACAAGCATGAATTTTATGGCTCATTTGATAAGGTGAAAAAATAGCAAACACAGGATGAAGGATGAAAAAGGAATAGCAGATATAACTTAGAAAATACTTAATCTTCAGATGTTTTGCCATTAGAAAACATGTCCTGGATAATTCTCACAACAATGCCAGCAGGCCGGGGTAGGGAGCACATTTGGGTTACAGCTGTACACAGAGTCTCCCTTCAAACTTCCTTAAGATTAAGACAAAAACAACCAAATTTCCACTGTAGTGCAAAACTATTAATCTCAAAAAAAAATATAACAAGGGATGAGAAGATAAAATGCCAAAGAGCTGTTTCATACTTGTGCACGTCACCTCTTCTTAAAAGTGCAACAAGGCAAATTATAATGAAAGTTTAGCACTTAAACATGTATTTTCACTCTGCTAAAATCATGGAAGTAATAAATTACCACAGATTGAAAACAATTGCTTGTTCCTCTATATAGATGGCATTCCAATTTCTTACATGAAAAAGTAAGCATACACTGTAAGGTACATGTGCAATATGTCAAAAATCATCGTTAACACTGTCAACCTCTGGTGAAGTCTGGACCAGAAGGCACAGTTGCTTGGTGTACTTAACCCCTTAAGGACCAAATTTTTGGAATAAAAGGGGATCATGACATGTCATGTGTCCTTAAGGGGTTAAGTTACATACACAAATCAACCCCGACATATCTTCAACCCGTTCTGTGAAAGCTCATATGGTCCCAATCCCGCCTTCCTTCTGCCAGCATTTGGTCACATATACTCCATATCTGGGACAAAACCTAAGGTAAAGAAAAAATTTATCAAATAATACATGGAAAAAGCTTCATGTACCCTTTTATAGACACTGAAAACTTTTTTGTTCTTTGCTTTCATCATTAGATACTGGCCAAGAAGTGCCTCTGAGGGCTACACCTTGCGGTGGGTACTATTAATTGGGCTTACAGGTTCCTAGCTTATCTCCTTTTTAACTCTTGGGGGCTGGTGCTCTGCAGCTCATGGGGATTCCAAGAGGCAGTCTTGGTGGTCACAGCTTCAATTTGACACAGTGCCTTCACAGACTTGGATGTATGTAGCCACAGGGCGACTAGCAAGGCAAGGGGTCGTGTTAGAACCCACTGAACCTGGAGGCTCAGTTATCCAGGACAACAGACACTCTACAGTTGTTGCTGACATTGAGAAATGGGACTCATTTTATAATTTTGAGCCTTTACCGACACAAAAATAAAACAAAACTATAGAATAATGAAATATACTCTGGTACTTGTATTTCATAGATATATTATAAAGTTTAACATTTTCAAAGTTTGAATCAACATGTTATGAATATATTGTATTGTCTTCTTTTCCATTCTCCAGACTGTAGTAGTAAGTATGACACTTAAAGTGCTCTTATGTCAAACAATAATACTACATTTAAATGATTTGCAGTGCTCACCAGTAACCTAAGTTTGACCTATCAGGATGGAAATGCTTGTTATCAGGCAGGAAAAAGAAAAGAAGCCATAAGAGGACTGGTGGACTGCTTTAGACCCAGCAAACAGAGTTTTAACATTCCGACTGCCTGAATTGTTTACATATGCTAATGCAACCCATATACCATTGTCATCTTCACAAGTACAGAAGTACTGTACAGAGTTTAGGTCAGATCATTGATCACCTTTCAGTATATGTTGATTACTAGGTCTTCAAAAATAAGAGGCTGCCTGGGTCTTTAAAAAAAAAAGTGACTTTGATACTATGACATATGATTCTGGCCTGCTAAACAGGTTTCCTCCTAATTTCTGTGGAAAACAATAAATGACTATACGACAGGGAGAGGGCAGTACTATTTATACTAGTGATTTTATAGTTCTGTTTTTTGTCTTTTCTAGGTGAGGAGCTAATCTGTGAAAGGATGAACCTAAGAATCATAACCATTTTAGCTGACTGAAAGTTTTTTAAAGATAAGGGTATAGGGACTTGTACCATAACCACTTTAACAATCTGAAATTATTAAAAATGCCTAGAGTTTCCTTTATGTGAGTTTTGTTCCTGGTGGGTACTGTGATACACTCACACAACCTGCATATTATTACATTTTCTCACTGTGGTGCTCTGAAATATAGAAGGTATTACTAGTGTGGGGCTCTGTAATAAAATCGTAAATATATAAACACTGCATAAAACTCTCAACGGTGCCATCCTGTGAATTTATTGGTGAGGTTCTACATGGTAGATTAGTAAAATTTAGGCATATACAGCTGATTTGGATAAATTCTCTAACTCATTTTAGTCTGTATTTTGTATTTCCGTTCACTACATTTGGGTGTTTAGTACATAATCTTCTAATATATGCAGAAGAATGTGGCACTCAGTTACAATACCTTCTCAGGTCGACACTTGATGGCAGCAGAGGGCAAGCCACAGTGACACACTGACTACAAGTTACCCCAAATCTCAGGGTTTTGGACAAGCCCTTATTTTTACATGGTTATACAATTACATGTGAATTGTCAGGAATTCAAACTTAAAATCGGACGAATGAATAAAGCCAGCATTTGTTTCAACCCAGCAAATCCCGGACAGTTCATACATTGATAGTGTAATAATTTAGTAAATAAGATCTGTAGGATTCCTAAACGAATGGATTTCCATTTTTAATGCAGTATGTAGATAATGCATTTAACTCACGTTAGAAAGTCCTGCTTTTGCTGTAAATCATGTCTTTACAAAATATGCAGTGAGCTACCCATACCATTTCGTGTTTCAGACAAGCAGTACATTTCCAATATTTTCTGAATGGCCCAGCTTATGATGACGCTTTGCAGCAAATATATTGATTGCATAGGAGAAATAGAATTGTTGGCTATGCTGCTAACAGCTTACTGACAGCTCTGTTCATAGTTATGTGAGGGGAGATGATTGTTTACAAACGTTGTGAAGGGACCTGTTAGAGAAGGGGGGGCGGAGGGATATAAAGGTCTTCTTGTGACTGAAGGTATGGGATTAAAGGGACACTCCAGGCACCCAGACCACTTCTGCCCATTGGAGTAGTCTGGGTGCCAACTCCCACTACCCTTAACCCTGCAACTGTAGCTGACGTGCTGACAGGGAGGAGCGTGGGCAGACCAAGAAGCAGCGCCAAGGGACATTGTCGCTGCCTCTAGTAAGTCACTAAAGGGGTTTTGACCCCTTCAGCAACCGGGATGGGAGGTGGGAGGGAGAGGGGACCTGCAGTGCCAGGAAAACTGATTGTTTTCCTGGCAATGGAGAGTCCCTTTAAGGCAATGAGTTATCAACATTACAACAGTTTTATGTTTTTTACAGGAAGAGATAACTTGTATAAGGAACATGGTTTTTTAAAACTACATTTTATACAGTAAATAGTCGCGGTGGTAATGGTAATTACTAATTTAATACAACTTCTCCTCATTCATGTAATTGTCAAAAACAGCATGTCATAGTAAAAGAGACATCTTGTTACAGTTTTTATTTGTTTTGTTCTTACAAATAATCATTAAAAAATACATTCAGGTTGTATTTAGGAAACAACAGAAGCCAATTTGGAAAGATAGGCTCTCTGTTTAGAAACGTATTAATATAGCATTTTCGTAGCTTTTTTGCCATAAGTTTAAATTAGATAGTGTCAGGACTGCCAAAAGCAGGTTGAGGTTCTACTTCAATACTCTTTAAACTTTTCTTCTTTAAATCCACTGGCCTTTCTATATACCATTACAAGGTTCCCTGAGCCATGAGTCTTAATAACATCATCTACCTTTTGTGTATCCCAAACATCCCCTAAGATAAATCCTTCAATGAAGAACACGGACATTTGTGACATATTTTTTCAAGCTTTCTTCATAGAGATCTTTCCCCCTAATTTAAAGGATCTAGGTTGCTTCTTCATTGCTTTATACCAAACAGTTAGTCATGCCGGCAATCACCTAGTGGCATCATGGCACCTTGTAATTTCAACAAGGAATGTAAGAGGGACGAACTAGGCCTGTGGCTACCTCAAGCCAAATAGTGCAACTGAAGGTCAGGTGTGCAACTGTGTCCTGTAAATAAATCTTTCAGCAAGGCATTGTATTGGTCTGCTGTTTGCCTACAAAATCCAAGATGAACTCAACTTCATTGTGACCTAGATAAAGCTCAGGGAGCTCCTCAATCCGGTCCAAACCCAATTCCACCACCAATGATGTCAACACATCCTCGTCCACCAAATCTGTATCTATCACATTAAGGGTGGGCATATGCTGATGGTGGCCAGGTGCCATCCTATAGCTTGGGTGCCCATGTGTAAATCCAGTATTGTTTATCATTGGATGTCCCTGATATTGAGTGTTGAGCTTCTGGAGGTGCATGGTTGCCATGAGCTGTTGGGTTCCAATGTATGATTGTGCTTGCCCTGGGTACATCATTTGGGATGGCATTTGCTGGTGCATCCCCATGCGTGTTCTTAAGTTCCCATCCGAATGGATAGCTCCATAATGCATCATCTGGTTGGAGGACATAGTTCTTTGTTGATGAGCAGGTGGTGCTTGCATTGGATTGATGCCCATTATATAATTTGGATGTCCACCGTGCATTACTGGCATCATCATAGGGTCAGACATCACCTATGAAAGAATGACGTGGGTTAAATATTAATGTTAAGGAAACAGTTGGCTGAACAGTTAACAAATTCCAAGAATGATACTCAGATAACAACCATCAAATTTAGTCAGGCTCTGTTAGGGACAGATAAAAAACAGCAGCATTCACACAGTCTATATAACCGAGTATGAAAAAAGTTGGTCACACAGTTGGGGACTTTTTTTAACCTTTTAAATTCGTTGTGGACATTATGGAATATTTACATATAAGCGCACACTGATAATTTGTCTTTTTTTGCTAATATAGTGACACAGTTTAATCCCAGGCCACACCAACAGGCCAGGATTTTCGGCTCTCCTTAACCTCCAAAAGCAATTTTAGAAAGGTTATTCACTGTTACCAAAGGCAATATTAACAGGGGTAGTCACTAAAGTGAGACATTTTATGAATTCAACGTAAATTATATCTTTAAGGTTAAAACTGATGAACTGGAAATATTATCCTAGTCAGCTATATTTCTACTTTAGCCTTAAATTTGAAATTCACTTTAAATGCCAGACAATGCTCACTATAGTTAATAAACCTGCAAATGTTTTATGATTATTTAGGCTTATGCAAAATGTCTCAAACAGTTACCTTAGATGTAACCAACTGACTGAGAATGTTTGCATATATTTATATGCTACAATAACAGTGAATAAGAAACATTTTTTTTCTACAATATATAATTTGATGGGATTGATTATATTCAAAATGCAATTCATTATATATAGTTAATAAAGTGCTACTAATTTTTTATTTTTTTATTATTAGGGTTATTCACGAAAATGAGAAATGTCGGATATTCAAAGAGAATTTTAAAAAATGGCCAAAATAGCTGATTTAGAAAAATTGTTTGGCGGTTTTGTTATGTTTGCCTTACATTTCAAATTCACTTTGAATATATATATATATATACATATATATATATATATATATACACACACACATATATATATATATATATATAAAATATTTATTTATTTTTTTCGCATTATAAAGATGTATGCCTAGACCCATTTAAACTGACTTCTAAACACTTATACTCACGACTGTAGTGACCTGTTGATATGAATCTAAAGACACTGTCCCTCATTTTTTTTTTTAAACTGTTTTGGTGTGGTTTGGCAAATGTCCCTAGCATCCATGAAGCCCCACATGCGTAGCTTCCACATTATCAATGTGGCTGCAGAGTGGGAGAGTTTTGATGCTGAAGAAAGTCCTATTTTTCCCCCAAACTGCTCCTAAAACAGTTTACAGAATACCAAGGGATAGCATCCATAAACTCATAGCACCATAACTATTAAAATGAGCTGTAACAGTTATGGTGCTAGCGTGCTCTTTTAAGGATTTAAGGAAGAGAGATATATGAATTATATGAAAAGGAGTCAGGCAGAAAACTAAATATATAAAATATTCACAATTGTTTGTTTTTTAACAAAGCAGTTAATTATTTAGATCTGAAAACTGAAAGGTTAAATAGAGACTTATTGTTTCCAAATCAGTTTGGCCTAAATTTAGATTATTTTTTTTTATATTTACATAAATGAAATGCTTAGTAAATAAAATCCCAAACGTACACTTTTATTAACAAAATGGAGATGCATTTTGTTTTCACAGTACAGGTTAATAACTGCACAGTCTTGTAAAGCGTGCACAGAGAGGGTTAATCACTAAACCGTGTATTGTCAGGAATTCACCAGGGAATTGCAAAGATTTTGCCAAAAAATCCAAAATGGAAAAAAAGTCATTTCAGTTTCTAGATCAGCCTGTTTCTATTAACCACAGTTCACTGTTTATTAAATAGACCCCATACAATATTATTCCCTAAACCAGGAAAGATTTGAAATGGACCTGTGGTTTTAACATATATTATATTCAAAATGCCAAAATAGGGCACATATATTAACAAAAAAGTATGCTTTGAACATGATAAAATCTCATTTTAATTAGTTTAAATAAAATTGTAACAAAAAAAAAAAAAGAGGTAGAAACTGACTGTTATGTCACTGACACAAAAATAATGACCTATCTATTAATTAAAGGGGTGAAGGAAGATTGTTTGATGCCCCACTGTGACGTTATGGAGTTAATGTCTGTGGATCTTTATGTAGTTGGATTACCCTACATAATTAAAGGATTTGTCACTTGGGGTTAAACACAGCTGTGGTTCAACAGGCTTTTGCACAATCACATAGATTAGTGTAGGCGATTAAAAGAACTCAACTACTATAAGAGACTTTTTACTGTAACAATTATAGAAATAAACAACTATATATCTATAATTATTAACTTGTTTACAGAAAGGTATGTGGATGAAAAGGCATCAGACCTTTTGTATTTATTTTTTTCCCCACATGCATAGATCTATAATAAGTTCCAAGGGGATTTACCATAAAATAAACACACTTTAAAAACAAAGTTAACCCATTACTAACTCGAGATCCGTCAGATTCCATGCTGATTCAAGATCTATCAGAACAAAGCATGGCACTATACTGTACTTTACTGTGATACAGACCTGACCATAAAGTAGATTTCTTTTTTTAACTTTAAGAAAACAAACAAACGCATTGCCATATTAATTCAAATTAATGTTAGTATCCGATTGCTGCCTTCAAAATACTATTTTTGTTAGAAAATGCATTTTTCTCAAGCATACCATGGCAGATACATATATGCTATGACACAAATTCTCCTGTTAAAGCGTATAGTTATTATATAGCTTTAAAACAAAAGGCACAAACACTCACTATTCCAACAAATGGCGACCCACAGAACTACAATCCAGCCTTGAATGGAAGCAATCCACACGTTAAAAGAGAACCAGCAAACCAGGACAAACAGTACTCCCTATGACAGAGTAAATTCATAAATAGCAATGTACAGAATGAGAATGCTAGGGCAGTGTTCTAGACCACGCCCCCTGATGACTGATTGGGTGGACTGGATCAACAGGAAGTGTGACAGAGAAGTCTTTGCCCATGTGTTATAATGCACTGCTATTATTATAACAATGTGGGAAGTGGGGTTAGTTTGGTTACACCTTTGTTTGGAAATACAAAACAAGTGCCTTAGAATTAATAGTGTATTTACCAAGGCTTGCTAACAAATATTACTGAGTTTGAGTATTTGTTAGAAAACCTAAAACAGTTTATGTTCTCATGTTGTAACTGCCCTACCTACACTTGGGGAAAGAAGGGGGTAGAGGGAGGTTGGGCTATCAAGGCAAAGGCATTTCTATTCTGGGGCAGAGTGCTAAATAAGGACCAGGCACGGTGGAAAGTAATGTCTCTCAACATTTGCACCTAAAATAGCATCTGTTTCAGACTGAAAGATCTCACACATATTGCGATACTACTTCCTAGCCTTTGTTTTGTTATTAAGGGCTTTGAGCATGGTAGAAATTAACATGGAAGGCAAGAACATATCTGAATGTCTGCTATTTTATTTCACTTCTTTACAAAACAGCAAGAATGACTGATAAACACATTGGGTTTATGTATAAAACAGCTGTTTTCACACCAACATTTTGTAATATTCTTTTTGTTTAAGGTTTTTAAATAAACCATCAGATTGAAAATGTGTCCTTTGTTTCCCTAGTAATATTAATAATTTGCATTATATTTAGAATACAATGTATGGTAAAATCATGAGGAAAAAAAGAAGCAAAATTAGCTAAAACAAAAATACAAAAAGTGGCAGAAATAAGATGAATATTCTCCTTATTTCTGCCTTTTTTTTTTTTTAGCTAATTTCGTTTTTTATCTAATTTTATATATTATGTGTGTGTTTGCAAGAGGCTTTCACTCACTGTACTTATCCAGACAAAAAAAAAATGTTTTATATGTTTTTAATGATGTTGGTGCCGGACAGAAGAGGTCTAGTAACATTTTGGCAAGGGGGTAATTTCAAATGAATGGCCCTTTTACTGATTTTTTAATTTTTTTTTATAAAGCATAGACAAATTCTCAGCCTTATACATGGAATATTTTTTAAAAAAAAGATAACACACAGTGAAAATGTATGTGAAATGTTATGTGTGCAAATATATTAACTATTCTGTTTTAACATATTTTATACAAACATACTTTTAACATGCACTGTTTATGCACAGATACGCTCAATTGTTTTTTTAAATTAAAATAAAAGTAGAGCAATGCAATATAAATGGCATAAAATAAATAAAACAAATATGTCAGTGCAATATCACTGTACACTTTGTATAGATTAACTTCTTAATCATCTCCAGTGATCGTCTATGATCAATGTTTACATATTTATAAATCCTTTACATTCCATGGCAGAAATGTACTGTGTGTGCCGATCCTTAATTATACATTTTATCTGATTCATGATTGTTTGTGTGTTTATGTGGACTTATTTTTAGAGCTGGGTGTGTGCAATCTAACATAGCATGGAAACAAAGGAGATGTTTTGTTTTCAACTGTGAGTAAATCATGAAACTCTGCACGTTTAAAACGACAATTTTTTGTCTTATAATTTATACACAGTGTGGTTCCTAAAATTTTTTCTTGAATGGTACTCTGTGTTTTCAGGGGGGGATATCACAGATATCTTTTGGGGTTTTGCTATATACCAAGTGACACTACTAGGATTAAAAAAAGCATTCCGGGGCTCGAGCCCAAAAATAATTTGGTGGGCCCTTCCTAAAGTTCCACCCATAACTCATCACTGCCGCTCCCCAATTCCACCTCCTAACATGACTTTGGCACACTCAGTTTGGCACACTTTGGCACACTCAGTTACTTGCAGACACACAAACAAATACACATATACACATAGGGGCATACACAGACTTGCACAAGCACACACAGGCACAAAACACAGACCGGCATACACAGGCACAGATAGGCAGGTGATGTAGTGTGTGTTGGGGATGCAGTGTGAGTGTGTGTAAGGAATGTATTGTGTGTGTGCTGATAACGCAGCGTGTGTAGGTATTGCAGTGTGTGCATAAGGTATATAGTCTGAGAAAAGTAATGCAGTGTGTGTAGGCAAGTCATTTTGTGTGCTGGTGATTTAGTGTATGTGTGTGCTAGGGAAAAAGTATGTGTGTGTGCTGTATATATAATATATATAAAAAACTAAAATTAATAATTTTATATATGTAGTGTAGATTAGATCAAGTTGATCAGTAATGCTTCGGACCTGAGGAAGAGAAGAAAACTCTTGAAAGCTTGCCTTTTAGGGATGTGCATGCGCAAAAAAATTGGTTCAGTTCGGCTTGGAAATTCCGGTAAGTAAAAAAAATCGGCACTTCGGTTCGGCACCTCCGAAATTCGGGACTTCGGCAATTTGGGATTTTGGCAATTCAGCACTTTGGTTCGGTTCGGTACTTCCAAAATTTGGGACTTTGGCAATCCGGATATTCGTAAGCATCCCTCTCTTGCCACCACAACCATTTGCAAATCTGTAGGGCTCCATAATTTTAACCCCTTACCCTAACTCTAGCCCTAACCCTCCCCTTAACCCTACCCCTAACTCCTTACCGCTAACCCTAACCACCACAACCACTTAAGCATCTAGGGTTAGGGGTAAAGTTAGGGGTAGGGTTAGGTGCCTGGACTACCACCACAACCACTTACACATCTATAGGGCTCCCAGTGCCAGAAATTAGCTTATTGGTCTAGATTTCTGTCATCATTCACGTAATTTTCCCTCCCTCTCTTGTTTTGCCACTTTTCAGAAATCCGAAGCACTTCAGCACTTCTGAAATCCGGCACTTCGGCAATTCGGTTCGGTTTGGCACTTCGGTAATTCGGCAATTTGGTTTGGCACTTCTGAAATTCAGCTATTCGGCAGTTCGAACATTAGGAAGCATTTACATTTGGAACGAAACAAATTGCACATGTCTATTGTCTTTGAAATATTATTTTAGTCCAATAAAAAAGGTATCATTGCATACTGCAATACTCTGGTATTTTGGCATATATATATATATATATATATACTTATTTATGTAAATTTCTATTTAGCTTACTACCTCCTCCTTCTGGTTATCATGGGGCAGAGAGGAGAGACATCTCTAAAATCCCTTGTGGTCCAGTGTGTGCAGTGCCTCTGGTCTCTCGCTCTGTCAGGAGCAGACCTTGTGTAATGGCTCTTGTGAGCTTCGGATTCTATGTTTCAGAGTGCAGAAATGCTCTTAACTGGCCGGAGCTCACGGGAGCCATAAACCAGCACTGCACCTGGCAGAGGGTTAGATGAGGGGCCCTCTGGGATTCCCCTAGCCCCCTACAATAGGGCCAATGGACTGTTGAGATAAATCTTTGGAAACATTAGTTGGATATTCATTGGCAGCCCTTTTTTCAATGGAACCTAAAATCTGTTTTGGACTATATGATCCCTTATTGCAATGTGCACTCTTTCCACCCCTTTTGCCCTGTAAAAATTATGTTAAGTACTTCTTACTTACCTCTTTGCAGCACAGGTACTCCACCTCAAGCATGCTGACATAGAGAAGCATTGAATAGGAGAGTATGTGCGTGGCAATAAGCGGTGCTCCTCTAATCAAATGCTGCTATTTTACTTGGTAATGGAGACAAAAGTGCCTCTAGTGGTTGTCAGGAAGACAGCCAGTAGAGGCTTGCTTCCTCCTGTAACACATTTATTTTCACAAAATGGTAATGTCTTACATTGATTTGTTAAAATTACAGGACCACTGCAGCCAGATCTCTCCATCGAGATGAAGTGGTCTGGGTGACTTTAGTGGTTCTTTAATTCCCTCAGTCCCTCGATTAATGAATTGGCATCAATGGATTTGGAACTAGCATGCCTCAAGCCATCTTTAATCTTTGCCAGGAACACATTCCTTAAAATGTCTTTTTTTGAAAATTTTATTTTAAAATAAGTTGTGGCATTAAAATCGGAAATACCATTCTGGCGATTAAGAATAATAAGTCAGTAGGGCTAAAAGCATGTATATCTTTCTAATAAGGCGTCAAGTAAAGTGTGACATTTTGCAAGCTGTTGATAAAGATAAAAAGAAAAAAGTAGGCATGCCTTTGACATTTTCCCTGAAAAACTGAAGTGTGTCTTGGTCCAAAAAAGGTTGGGAAACAATCTCCTACATGACAGATGCACACTTTTTAATCATATAAAATCTCGTAAGACTATAAGAATACAGGGAATGCATAGGCTCTGCAGCTAAGGTTAGATACTACAATATGAAAATACTTGATTAAATGACATATTACATCTGTTATAATGGCTGGACATCAGTATTTGGATGAAATTGCCTTTAATAAAATATCACAAGCTGATTATTGTATGCTGCATAAGTAGATAGGAAATACTCACATTGATTTAATATTTTTCGGATAAACTTTTCAAATTATTTAATAATTTGGATAAATCTTTAAAAATTAAGCTAGTAAAATAAGTATTGCAAAATTAAAATTTTTTAAATATGAAATCATTCGAAAAGCTTATCCAAAAATATTAAATCGAGGCATATGCCTTGATTTAGTAAACTTGCCAAATGATTGAGTACTTTGAAAATTTTGCAAATGTTTATCTACCGAAGTAACCTTTAAGTATATGGGATTTTTGTAGATAAATCATTTGGAACGTTTTTCTAAAAGTATTGAATCATTTGGAATGCTTATTAAACCGAGGCCAGAGTGGGTTTTGCTCTTTGATGGATCTAATTACAGTTGTAAGGGCAGTTGGTGTGCACAATAGCAACATCCTCTAGAATTGTATTTATTGTGAAAACAACAGGGTCAAAAAAATGGAAGGGGGTCTTTGTTTTCATGCAGATTAAAGGGTTAATTTCAATGTAGTAAAAGGTAAAGATATAAATAGCATCACAATGGTTAAAGATGCTATCAAAAGATTTAGACTCTGATAAAAGGTTGCAGTCAGACCTC